GGGGAGGAGGCGCGACGCGCGGGTTTCGTTTTCGGCGATAAACGAAGTCATCGAGTCGAGCGACGTCGGCGAAGGGCGATCATCTCCGTCGACGTCAGCGGCGATGAAGGCGAGTTTAGTGAACCCCGAGACCGCGGCGATGACGCTCAACGCGATGTCCGGGAAGGAACTCGCGGCGGAACTCAAGAAGACGCAAACGAAGATGTCTGAGAAGGCGAATACGGCGAAGAAACTCACCTCGAGCGATTCGCAGCGCTTGAGCCTAGACATGACGGGCTCGACGAACGTGCTCGAGGGTGCGGAAGAGAAGACTCGTCGCGCCATCAAGGTGCTGAGGACGCAGACGGACGCGTTGATGTTTCTCGCGGACGCCATCGAGGCGAAGGAGTTACCCGGTCTCGCCGAACGCATGCGCGAGCGCCTGAACACGATCAAGGAGAGTTACCACGACTTACTCTCATACGAGGGCCTACGCCAACGTAAAAAGGGCGCGCTCAAGGCGGCGAGAAAAGTAGATATTCTTCGCGGAGCTCTGGGACAAACGGAACAACAGGACGGGCGTAACCTTCCGACTCACTCGAGTGACAAACCGATGCAAAGGAAACGTGACTATCAAATTTTAGGCGCTAGAATGCTCGCCATCGGTTGTGTTTTCTTCGTCCTTTTGTTGACGCCGTTCATCGTGACGCAATACGAGCAGCACGAGCATCAAACTGCTTGTGACGTCGCAGAGAAGGGAGAAGTGAAGCTCGATCACGCAAGCGAGGGACAAATGGAGGTAAATCTTCTCCTCGGACCTTGCATTTACAACGCCAGCGAGTACCACGTATCGTATTCCATTTATCAAAATCACAGCGGTCACGTCTACCAGTTGGCGACATCGGCACAACTCGTCACGCCGCACTGGAGCGGCGAGTCCGGCCATCGACGCAAACTCCTGGGAGGTGGCGGCGCCGGCGTGAGCAAACATCTCAAATCTTACTTTTCAACCCACATCCTGAGCGATTATAAATCAACGCACGGAAGCGCTTGGATGGAGTTCACAACGGATTGCCCGGATCCCGTCGCAATCTCTGTCACGGCTGTCG